CCCTAACTCGGTCCGAACCCTAATCACGGAGTAATCCGGCTGACCATAATCACCGGATTGTAACACGGCTCAATGCGATATTAATATGACGAGACAGATCCATCTGAAATGCAAGGTTTAGAACATTAAATCCTGAAAGCAAGCACAATATCCGTCCGACACTCTTGAAACAGCGAGCAAGCACAGTACTCGTCTGAAACTTTCAAAAACAACGAGCAGACTTTTTGATTGGCCGCCAATTGGCAAGATATTCTAGCTCGTGCAAACCGGGGTGCAAATGTTCCATTGAAACAGATTCAAGAAAGTTTTTGAGGGTTCAGAGCGTCAACTGGTCCCTGACTAGTAGACTTGGTGTAGGCGCCAGACTTAGAACGGTGGCTTTTAGAAATCGAAGAAGGGAATTGGGGAGATAAGGCCAGAGTCATAGAGTGCACATGCTAAGATCACAGAGTAATCGCCGAGTCATATTCAATGACCATCAGCTTCTGATTGTTTCTTAGTTTAGGATGGAAGTGGAAGCGCCAGGACGTTGGCCGTGGTTTTCATTGAAAATGAAAAGTGCGGGAAGGATAGCAGCCGAATGATGATCAGAAGGTGGCTAAAAAAAGGTTGGCACTGAATGAAGTTCATTCTGGAGCTTAGCGGTATTTTAGGAGCAAGTGCCCATGGTAAGTGTGAACTAGCCGGGGTCTAGCAGGGCAAGGTTCTTTGGCGAGTTATCGACTTGGAGGTGTTGCACCTTGTTGGGATGTTTTAAACCTTGAAACGAACTAAACAGGAAAGAAACAGTATCTAGTTGCTGTGTGGCTTCTAATTGGATCGAACTTGTATTGTAGCTTTCAAGTAGGTGGCTTTCCGGGTCCCCGAGGCTTTCCGAACATTGCTCATTCAACGCCAGCACATTGCTTGTACTCCAGTCTCTCAGTCTGAGATTGGTGCATCCAGATTCATTGCAAAGGCCATTGCCAAGGCAGATTAAGCACCTGTTGCTTTTTGTCCAGCACTGGATCTCAGTCCTGACCCACAAATTCCGTCATCACATTGACTTACCGTTGAATGGAAAGTTTTGAATAAACACGGGCACAGCTAGCAAACGGCTTACATCCAGATAAATAACAACGCACAGCCAAGCTTCGACAGTGAGCTGGGAACTTAGCTTAGGTTGCTGCCCCTTCCTTCTTCTGTGGCTTTAAATGGGCTTTCAATGTGCCACAATTTTTTGAAGCCTCCCGGCAATCTGATGCTTCAAAGTAGCTGCACTTCAATGCTGCGGCAGCCAGCTTGAGCACTAGTAAGCTCAATGATACAATCAATTTCCGTTGCTGTCAGGCTTTGAACCCACCAGCAAGACGGCAGGCGCTCGCACTCTTTCAGGCCATTTGCTCGTTGAGGCCATTATGGGTAATACTTGTGTGGTCAGACAGGATAAGTGCATCTAGCATCATTGCAGAGCTCCTGAGAGATGCTCTCCAATTGCTTTACTGCCAAAAACGATAGGGCCATAGAGCAAACGCAGGTTCCACTGGTGAACCTTGATATTTCCGGCAGCCATTGTCGCCAGTAGGCGCCCTCTGAAAATTGCGGTCCAGAGATTGATGATGCCCCACAACGATCACTTCCAACAACGCTGTGTTTCAACAACGCGCAGTGCGCCCCCGAGTTAAACCCCGAGCCAGTTCCGCCGTCGAATGGCCGGATCCGGTTGAATTCAAACGGGCATACTGTCTGAGTCTATGCATGTGCACGGATCGCAAGCCTCTGCGACTCATAATATCATACACATGAGATTATGCATGCAACTCCCAAGAAGGAGCAGGATGAAACATGTAGTCTCTGGATTCCACCAAAGGTGTAACCTTTACACCACCTTCTCGAGCCGAGACTGAGTTTATCAGCAGGCGCCTTCGCGCCTCTCCCATGCTAACAAGGAGTAAGAACGTTTCATCAAGCTCAGCCTTGATCTCACGAAACTCCGTAAGGTACTCGTTAAACGGCTTTCCCCTTGGTCAATCTTTGACCCGTCAGCTTCCTCTAAGCGAAATCACTTGCGCACTGGTCTTCTTCTCAAAAATGTCCTTCAACCGTCTGCCGCGCTTTTGCCGCTGTTGTGACGGTTGGCCAGCTTAAGCGAAGCGCTGGCGGGATAACTAGACACATATACGGCAGCCATGTGCGGAAACCATGGTTGCAGGCATTCTCGGATGGAGGCGCTTGCTCTGTAAAAATGTTGTCTTTCTGCTCAAGACAGTTCTGCTTGCTGGTTGGGAATTCGTACTTCGAATGATCCCCGCAAGGTTTCGTGTCTTGCTCCACTGCGTGTTCAGCCAAGTCTTGAATCGTGGAGAGGCTACTTCGAGGAGTGCCCGCAGGCATCTCGTAGCCGCGTGGGCCAGTCATGTCCAGGACAGCTTACTTACTGGGACTGCATACTACGACCACATAGTAGAGCACCATGCACCATGCCAAGCAATCCTGGTCATGCCATAGTCTTGCAAGATCATGCTGTCACGTCAATGACTCAGCATACCTATCTTGCACTCTACGAACTATTTGGTGGCGTAATTAATCAAGCTTGCATTAACTACGTCACATCAATACTGTGCTCATACGCCTCAACCCGGCGTACGCGCGCACCCGAAGGCTAACTTACTGGTGACTATGTGCGGTTAGACTTAACCATAGCCCATACGTCACAGCTGTGGCTCGATCAAAATCACATAAGTATTCTCTGTGTGGTTAAATACCTGCCCTTTTGCTTGGATTGACACTCCCCTCCCTCCACGGAATGCGGCTCCTTTTGTGCACACATCCATCCCTTATATGCTAAGAGTCTCTGCAGCCTGACCTTCCACGTTGTCGACGATCGCCATCATCACTTTACGATTCAGCTCATACACCAAAGAAACCAAACCCTCCTTCTTCACTAAACGGCTGCCTTCATCCTTCGTGGACGTCGATCTTATCTCTTGTGACAGTGGGCACATAGCCTAATGAGATTTGGCGGGATAATAAATTCGCGTAGTGGGTCACTCGTGATCGGTTCTTATCGAAGTGCCCAACACTCATGCTCATTACTTATTAATGGTAGCCATCCATAAAAAGAAACACACGAAGCGCCTTTGACACGTAAGCGGCTTCCTTCTTTCCATGACTTCTCTCATTCTCTTGAAATGATCATTTGAAAAAACCCGTATCAGCGTTTGCTTTCCTTAAAACAAAAACAATCCGAATTTCATTGTGGCCTGCCAAAAATCTCATGCAAGGGGTAAGGGCCATCGATAATATTATTAATCAAAAGTGACACGATGGGTCTGCCGAAATACTATACCATAATCAAGTATTTGGCGTCGTCTGACGAATTTGATTACGCTAGCACGGTAGTGTTTTCAATCACTGTTGTCTCAGGGATCTCACACTTGGTCACTCCCATACTCGATCTTCGACTTTTGTTATCCTCATTTGCGGCTCACATTGACGGTCCTCTCAACCCGCTAACCTCTAGGGTAAAACCTCCTAACCGCCGTGCAGTGATGCACGCCGGCGCTCGCCGGTTTAAAGTCGAAGTCGGGGTTGAACTCTAATCAAAGTGACTCGGTTGACTAGAATCATCGATTTTTAACAATATCGCAAGGATTCATGATTGCATGATTAGAGTGTCATGCCGTTTTCTGTCGTTGCCGTGAAGGCTCGGCCATATGCCTTTATGCCCATACTAGTTGCTAGATGCCGCCCATCCTATTTGGACCCCATTTGGGGCTCGCATGAGTAGAGATTACTCCCTTCCTAGATCGTTGTTGTATCTAGTTACCTCATAGCCTTACGCGTATTGAACGGCCATGACATGCGCGCATTGCAAGTACGCATCGCGCTCGATGACTCTATTGACAATTGGGTTTTTGCACGTTTGCCGTTTCTCCGCTACGGCACTCACCCATGAAGTTGCGCACCATGCATTGGGTACCCGTACGCGATCCTTCTGCATGGTATTCTCATGCCACGTTCGTGCGTGACTCCCACTGCCCACATTCCGCCAACAGACCAAATTTCATACGAGGGCGGATTCAATGCTATCGATCCTACTCAGTGACTTCAATATAACGCGTCATCGACTCCGCTTAACTGTTCATTGCATTAGCAGAGGCAGGTTGTACTTTCGAGTAGCTTTTGGCAGTTTGTAGAAACGTGGGTAATTTGAGCGACGACCCACAATGGAACTTAGGCAAACAAATTTCACCGTAGCTATGAAATAGCGAGCAGACGCTCAATTCTCCAACTTAGTAGCAAGTTGGAAATTGGACTTCCACGGATGGTCCGGCAATAGAGCAGCTCTTGACGGCGATCCATCCGAAGCCATTATATTGTTTTCACGCTTCCCTCGCTCCATTTGCATTAGCATGTGTCCAGAGTACTCTCGGGCACGCCGGGGTCACAGATGCTCCGACATGCCATTTAAGTGACATGTGACCACATATATTTTTCGCTGTCACCGACGGTTGAATCAAAGTACTCGTCTTGTGCGCCCACATGATATCGTTCTTGACCAACCCGGGACTGCATGACATTAAAGACCTATGCCACCGTAAAGCAATCCAGATTATCCAAAGTCGCATTCTTTGCTTCAATCGAGGTTTGGATGCCGGCGCCAAAATCTCCAGATTTACCATCGAGAGAGAGCACATTGTGAATCATGGCTCAGCTGATATGTATTGCTCGAAGGGACATCGAACAAGAAAATGAATTGGCGCAGTAAAAAGTCTACCATCCGGAGGTAATGGAGCAAAGCAGTACCATGGCACCATATTGCCAAGATTGCACAACCTTGGCCACGGAATCAATACCGTGGAAGGGGTACCGTAGGAGAAAGCCAAGGTAAACTTTTATTGGAGGTGTCAACCTGTTTCATCAAGAATTCGTCTTTACAGTTACCCCAATTCACTAAATAAGTGTATACCTTTGCAGGCCACATTGAATATCTCCCAGCCTTGCAAAATATGATGCTGTCACAACAACTAGTTGACGCTGCCAACCATTCCGAGCAGATTAACGTTATACCAATGAATGTTCACTATTGAACGCCTGCCAACCGTGCCCAGTCAACGAATTGCATCCCTCCAAAAACATTGTTGCCAAAGCGGATGGCAACAGTGAATGCATTGGATGCCACAGGAAACTTTCTTGTCATTGGACTATGCTCGACCAATCGCTCTAGCCCATTGATGATCTGGTATCTCGTGTTTGAAGACACTCCCATGAAGACCCCTACACGTAACAACAAGATAATCTTCAAATCCTCTTCAGCACTACATGATCATGGAAGGACAATGCGCACACGAAACACTGTTCCAATCACAATAGCCGGATCGGGCTTGCTGGAATAGGCGGCCATTGGCGGACAACTACCACATGCAGCTTAGATGTGAGAGCAGGCTACTCACCCCATAAGGCCGCAGATTTCATGAGAGGGGGGACCTTCACTTGCTCCGCATGCTCGTCTGCTGGCTTCATTCTCCTGCACCGCCATTGACCACCTGTCTTCAGTATTCGCGCAACGGCAAATATTTACTAGAGCTGCACCAAGGGGCGCCCAGCCCACCCGCCGGCCTCCCACAAAGACACTTTGCAGGCCTACTTTGAGAAGGCATTGCAAGGGCCCCGCGGCCTTCCCGCCTTGAGCGTGGGCCTCACCTCTTGAGCGTCATGATGGCGTTGGCGATGCCCTGCCCCACCAGGCCGCACCCGGTGCCCACCACCGCGTACTGCCCGCCCTTCACCAGGTAGCAGGCAACGCGCTGCCCCACGCTGAAGGAACGCCCGCGGCCGGCCGCCTCGAACATGCTGCACCAGGGCAAAGCGCCAACACTGAGGGGCAGCCTTTCCAGCACCACCGCTCTCCAAGTGCAGGCCAGCTCAAACAAAACCACCTCAGTCAGCTCAGAGTGACCATCCACATCCGGCCATTGAGAAGTCTGCTGCCAGCCATCGAAGCCGCAACCCTTCCAGTGTGTTCTCACGCGCTCGTTAGCCAGCATGGGCGGCTCACAGCGGTTCTCCCATTTGCAAGCAGGGGCGCTCACCTGCTCGGCAGCGCTGCAAGGTGGCGGCTCAGGCCTGCCGTGAGGCCTCGCGCCGGCGCCCCGTGCGCAGCGAAGGAGGCAACGGGTGCCAGCATGCCCACCAGCGCCACGTCCAGCGCCAGGCCCACGAGCAGGTCCGACATGTACAGCTCAAACTCGGCCCAGAAGTCGTCCCCGCGCTTCTGCACCTCCGCCACCGTGGCACACCCCGTGTCCACCGCCACCTGGCACACCCAGCCCCAATGAGCGCCGCACAGCAGGGGGGGCACAGCGCGCGGGGGGCAGACGCAGGAGCAGGCACAGCAGGCGAGGGGGGGGGCCGCAGCAGTGCGGGCTGTGGGATGGTTGTGGTGGGGCTCACCTCAGTGAAGACCTTGAAGAGGAACTTGTCATCGGCGAGCAGCCGGTTGCGCACGGAGGTGACCCCGCGGAACAGGAAGCCCACAGGGCCCGTTGCAGTCTGGATTGGGAGGCCAAAACCAAAGACCAGATTAGGAACAAGCTCTTTCCCATCTCGACCCTCGCCTGAAGGGGACTGAAGGCACGGCGCGGGAGCAAGGCATGCAGCGTCGCGGCCGCAAACACGACGATGGAGTCTCACCCATGATGCCACCAGCAAAAGAGGTCAGCGCAGCCTGGTGCGAGCGTGCCCCGCCCTCGCACTGACCTGGAACATGAGGAAGCGGTGCAGGATCTTTTCGGGGAGGCCCTCGAGCGCGGCTGCTGCCGCCATGTCCTCCGGCAGCTGCACACCCTCTGCCGCCAGCAGGCGCTCCACCTGCGCGCAGCCCACAGCACGCCTCAGCTGCGCCGCAGCGAGTGCCACGCCCACTCAGGAGCAGACAGGAGAGAGCAGGCAGAGATCAGGCACAATGCAGGTGAGCCTGAAGAGGCAGTGCACAACTGCCTGACGCAGAGACCAAGCTGGCAGCTCAGACCCTACAGCTGCAGAAAGTCCGCAGCAATCAATGCTCCTCTGCATTAGACTGCATTAGAGCTATGTACCTCTTCTGTCGACAGGATCCGTCCATGCTCCTGCTCATCCCCGCTGCTCCCCTCAGCAGGCCCATCGCCCGCTCCGCCCCCGCCAGAGCCCCCTCCGCTGCTGCGTCCCCTCCCCCCCCCTCCGCCACCCTCCCCATCATTACCACCAACACTGGCCTGCCCTCCCAGCACCACAGCCGCCGCAGGGCCACTCCGGTGGCGGCCCCGGGCCTGGCTTGGGTGGGGCTGCCTCACCGCCGGCTGCTGGTCACTGCGACTGGCGCAGCTTGCGGAGCTACTAGGGTCCTGCCGCAATTGAGGACCGCAAGCTGCGTCCTTCCTGCGCTGGTGAGGCGCCCCAAGCCACGCCTTGCATCGTGAGTCGATCCCGTGTGGCCCAGGCTGGGCAGGAAGGTCCGGCAGCCGGCTCACCTCCAGCCGGTGCGCCCTGATCCCACACCGGGCCGAGCTGGCCGCCATGACTGCCGGCACACTTTCAGCAGGCCACGAGCCGCATCAGGCACGAAGCACACAGCTGGATGTCAGCACTTCTCCAAATACAAGTTATTACAAGCTCAAAATTGCAGAAAGACCGCAAGTGACCAGACTCCTACCCAGTCCTGATTGACAACAGGTGGTGCTGGAGCATCATTGCGCCTTGGTTCGCATTGTTTGCGCAGCATAGCAGATTTTATCTGAGAATGGCTCCGCGTCACCTCCGTTTTCGCACCAAGTCATTGGCAGGCGGCCGCCGCGGCCGCGCGGCTGCGGCCGGGCCCCGGGGCGGCGCGAGGCTACAATCCAACCCAACTCAGGGTTTGCATCGTGGCCGTCCATTGGAGGCAGGACATTCGGGCGCCGTCCATTGGGGATTCTCCCCCGAACTTGAAAGAACCGCCCGGTTGACGGCCGAGCCGCTCATTCTAGACCGTAGATGAGCAGACAAGTCTAGATCTACGCTCCAAAGTTCAAGCAGAGCAGCCCCGCCCGGCATAGGTCGCGAGGTCGTATACAGGATCTCACGGCGGCTCGAAACGTGCACTAGAGGGGCACTCACTTGGCCAACAGAGACAGCTTCAAGAGGTTAGGACGGCCGCACGTTGATGGAAGCGGCAGCTGCAGCCCCCACCCTTCTCGCTGGCAAGTGTGGTGAGCTTTGCACTAACTCTCTATATGGCTGGTGCCAAAGGGCGTGCACACAAAATTCCGATGGCGGCTCCTTTTTGTAAAATAATCGCCCGTGACAATGTGAGGCACGTTTTCTGAGCTTTTCTCCCTCTCCTTTTCTGAACGGGTCTACACGTTGTCTTTGGTTTCAAGGAACCCGTCTTCAGCCAATTGCAAGTTGTGGACCGGAAGCCAGCCCGGCCATACCACAGATTTTAGAGCAGATGGTGGGCACCCCATCAGGGCACGGTTCTTCAAGTGTCTGCAGATGCTGGTCCACACGTTGTTCTTTGTCTAAGGGAGTCTTGTCATCAGCCAACTGCAAGGTGTGGACCGTAAGCCGGCCCGGCCATACTTCCGCAGATCTGAGAGTGGATGGCGGGCACTGATTGCGCCACGTTTCTCCAGGTGTTCGCACGTGCTGGTCCACACGTTGTCTCTGGTTTTAAGGAATCGTATGGAAGGCCAACTGCAAGGTGTGGACCGTAAGCTGGCCCGGCCACACCACAAACTTTGAAGCCGATGGCAAGCACAGAGCACGTGTCCACACGTTGTCTCTGGCTTCAAGGAATCGTATGGAAGGCCAACTACAAGGTGTAGACCGTAAGCTGCCCCGGCCATACTACCACACATCTTAGAGTGGATGGCGGGCACTGATTGCGCCACGTTTCTCCACGTGTTCGCAGGTGCTGGTCCACACGTTGTCTTTGGTTTTAAGGAATCGTATGGAAGGCCAACTGCAAGGTGTGGACCGTAAGCTAGCCCGGCCACGCCGCAGGTTTTGAAGCCGATGGCAAGCATAGGCCATGGGGCCACACGTTGTCTTTGGTTTTAAGGAAACGTATGGAAGGCCAACTGCAAGGTGTGGACCGTAAGCCAACTTGGCCACGCCGCAGATTTTGAAGCCGAAGGCGGGCACGGCCGGGTCCACACGTTGTCTCTGGTTTTAAGGAATTGTGTGTTAGGCCAACTGCAAGGTGTGGACCATCAGCCAGTTCGGGGCCATCGCCGATCATCGATTGCAACGTGGGGACCGTAGGTTAGCCCGTGGCCATACTGCGGGCTTTACTCTGTAGCAGGCATCCAACGGTCGCCAAACCGCACGTGCTTTCTGACTTTAGGTAATGAAACAGTCTAAATCAGCTATAACGTGTCACCAAGGGGCCGGGGAGCAAACACAAGTGATGGCAAATGTGGTTTAAAAGCGACATCGAAGGGGTACTTAAGGAAAAGTGAATCTCTCAACAAGCAATCAATTCTCCATTTGCAGGATGGCGTCATGCCTAGTGGTCTCCACAGAAGAAGTGCAGCTGCTTGCATCGACCGCTCCGGGTCCAAACGCCTATCTGCACGGCGCATTGGCGGGTGGTGGGCACGTGCGAGCTCTGGGGGCGGTCACAATCGGCGGCGTTGATATCTCGTCTCCGAACAGCCCTCTCGGCACTTCCATCAGAATCTGCGACATTCGCAGCGTGCCAGCAGCCGTCCCCCCTCTGCCACACGCTGGCGGCATCCGTGGCGGGACCCCCTCATAAGCGGCACAGCAAGGAAACGACGACTTCTTCTTCGATTATGCGTACGCCTTTCGCCTCAAGCTCGGGAGCGCCTTCACCAAGGACGGCTTTGGGGTGCCGTGCCAAGGCAGTGTCTGCAAAGGCAACGTGCCCCTGTACACCCGAGGAGCCGAGCCGTTCATCTGGGAGCGGAAACGGAACCGTGGAGGTGCGATCATCTGCCCAGGCGGCGGCGGACACCTCCTCTGTCTCCGATGTTTGGACGCCGCATACGCCGAGGGCCGCCCCTTTGTCTCAACGGTCACTGGAGAGGCAATAGACCGAAGTGACCTCTTCAAGAAGTACGAGGCCTCTCCCGACTCAGGAGAGTTGAGAGAGCCGAAGTTAGGGCAGCCCGCGGCGGAGGGGGGGCGCCAGTTTTTTGTTCAAAGGCGGGATTTGGAGGCGTGCCCGTGCTGCAAGAAGGCAAAGGTCGCCAGACGGGGAATAAAGAGGGCGCTCGAGTCCGGTCCCACTCCGAAGGAATGCGGGACGGCTGCAGTATTGGAGGAGTTGAAACGGTGCACAATCCCTCCGACCGTCATTGGCGCGGGGCTGTTTCTCGTTCCGCATCTGGGGGGCGACGGGCGGGTTCTCGAGTTCTCTTTGTCAGAGACCGGGGGGAAGCCGGTCAATCTGCCTCGGCTCGTCAAGGTGGATCATGCGGGCAACTTCCGCTGCATGTGCGGCCAGAAAGCATGCAGAGACCATGAAGTGGGCCTTTTGAGAGACACCGCAGCTATGGAGGGCTGGTGGGGATCCGTCACAGGGGGGGCGCGACCAGACTTTGGCCCGTTTGACGAGAGCTCAAGCTTTGTACGAAAGGTCATGAGCAATCCAGACCGGGTCCTCCCCATCGAGCTGGACGGCCGTCTGGGAGCTCCAATCAGTGGGCTCAACGCGGCCGCATGGTCGGGGCCAAGACTCCGTCTGTTTGTGGTTGGCACTGGGGCGGGAGTCGACAAACTCCCAGCAGTTTGCGTGCTCACAGGGAGGAATGCCTTTTGCAGCAGATGTCCGGATCAGGAGGGGTGCTCGCACGTGGAGAGAGGTTTTGCAGGGACGAAGCAGTCACGCACGGCAGTAAGCTTCCGACCTGAAGACGGACGGGTGCTTCAGGTTGCAACACGCACAACACCCGTTTTGGAGAAACGGGCGGAAAGGGAGGAGCTTCGAGCGTCAGGGCAGGGAAAGCTCTGGGTCTGCAACGATCGGCTTTGCCGGCGGCCGGACTCGAAAGTTGCGTGCACCCACCGGGACTCACGAGAGCTGTGGGAGTGTCTCCCTGCGGCGGCCCTCGATATGGGCCACAGCCATCGGAAGATCGACACGGTCATGAGCCGGGGTGGAGCGAGTGTTGCGAGCCTTTGCGAACGGTGGGGCGAAGAGGGGGTGCGGCGGCGTGATAAAGCAAAGCACTTTTGCGCCCCGCGACCCGTCGAGGTGCTGTCGCCGTGCGGCCGACCATGGCAAGTGGAGAGCCGGAAGGGGGCGCTAACAACGGCCGGAGCGCGCTACTCTATCACAACCTATCGGAGGATCTGCCGCATCGCCCCAGGGCAAGAGGCGGCTTGCTGCTCAACTGCCTACGACGGCCTGGTGAGAACTAACACCTTCATCATACGGATTGATACATTGATTGAGTGCACATTCCTTGTAGCGTCTGTATGCTGCTTCAGAGGGTAGAATAGCATTTGCCTTGAGGTAGTCAATGTTGCACTTGGCTTTAACAGTGAGCGGGTAGTCTGGTTCGGTCCACAACAGGGAATATTTCTTTGGAGATTCCAAAGGCACCATACGACGAAGAAGTGAGAGTTGCTGAATTGCTTCCTCCCGAAAGATGCGCTCGGATCCTTCCTTGGGGCTCTCGAGCTTTGCTCGAAGGTCAATGCACTCTGGCAGATTGAGACCAGCTAGTACGGTTTGCGTCTGGAAGCACCTTCCTTGGTTTGCAAGATCCTCATAATGCTTGACGAGCCTTTTCCTCCGTTGCATTATGATCTTTGTTTGTCGAGCTTCTTGAGCCTCACGAAAGCCCACCGGACCCCCTCGCTCCCGGATAGCGAGCACACGTACGTCGACTTCTCGATAGTAACGGGTTTGAAGCGTTTTCAGAGGATGAGAGGTCCACTGAAGCAAAGCAAGGTCTTTGATCTTGTACTTCTTTCGCGCCTCGGTTGTGGTCAGGCAATCAAGTGCGCTATGCAGCCCAAGATCCAGACACCTCAAACAGGTCGCCAGTCCTTTATGGGGATGCATGGGCCATCGCAAATCAGTCCACGCACTGCTGCATATTGCGCAACATTCTTGAGGCAAGACCGACTCGACGTAAAGCGGGCCGGGTGAATTGTTGCTCGAGAAAGGAAAGTCGTGCATCATTGTTCCAATAGCAGCTTGAGTATCTTTGCAGGTACAGGCTGAAGCAGCCAGATCTGGAAGATTGAGCAAGCCCTTCTGGCCGACAATACTCAAAGCGGACGCAAACTTTTCGTTCAAAGACATGGTCTGCTGTATTCAAGCCTTGGAAAAAATGAAGGCTCTCCTAAACGCATATTTACGGTGATGTTGTTCCTTTTTGCAGGAAGACGGCATCTTCAACTTCTCCGGCACCAACCTCATCTCGCACGGATTGCTCTTGCGAAATTACTTTGCCGCAGCTCTGGGGCAGCCCACAGCCTCAACTTTGAGGCCGGTGACATGGCGACAAGGAGCCTCGAGGGCCCCAACGTCCCTAGACTGGACGACCGGGTGTTCGACTCGGCTATGCAGGCCTTCAACGACTTGGCCGCCCGGCCTCGGATCCAGCACGTCTGCTCGCGCGCCGATTGCGCGCATCTGTACACATGCGAGGTAGAGGCGGCCGGGGCTGAGGCCCAAAAGGCCGGCACCCCCCTGAGGCCGGAGCGAACGGAGGGGCCGAGCTCCGAGCTGTCGACCTACGCTTTTGGGCGGGACAAGGTCATCACGTTCGACGGCACATTTTTTGCCAACTCAAGCGCGATGCGAGACTCTGAGACGGAGGCATCGCTGCACAGCATCTGCGAGCCGGATCCAAGGGCAACGAGGGTTGCTGGGGGCTTCAGTCCTCTGAGCGTAGGCGGAGTGCGGCCATCCGACGTGCCGCTCGAAGGGATCGACTGCCCTTGGAAGTTCCGAAACGGGCTCTCAGAGCTACGGCCGGCAATACGGGCCCTGGCGCTTCGCTGGTGCAACTTTCGAAAGGCTCCGGCGCAAGGGAGCAATGCGCCTTTAAAACCGGAGGAGTTCGTCATGATACGAGAAGGGCTTCCGGCAAACGTCGTTGCCCTGATCGACTTCGTGACGGAGGCGGGGGCTTGTATTGACCCGGCCACGTGTGCCGTCTGCCAGGGGGTCCCGAGGCGGCCCTGGATGCAAGGGTTTCTCAAGGAGGGGCCGGTGGGGCCGACCGGTTGGTGCCCCACGCACTTCCAGCCGTATGGAGCCCTCCTGCACGCGCTGCTCATTCCGAGGTACTCCTGGGTGTTTGGGCGCATCGTCACCCTGAAGCTGCTGAGACACGTGTTGCTGGAGGGGCCTCTCGATGCGCAAGGGATGGCCTTTCTCTCCAACGACGGTCCCATGCTAGCGGCCGTCCTGCGCCTGCATCCCAGCGCCGGCGGACAGTACGCCTTTCCGGCGGCGCTGCGGCCGCTCGTGCGCGACATTTATGCCACGAACCTCCTCTGCTTCGAGCCCAGCGCAAACCGGCCAGGGCCCTTGTCGCGGTCGCCTCTGGCCGCCCTCCATGATGCGACCGAGCACCTCTGGGCGATCGAAGGCGAGAAGCTGAGGCTTGCGGGTCAGATGGAGGGGGCCGCAATGGAGTATGCCGAGCAGCGCGGGGCGGCATTGAAGGGGGCTGCCAACTCGCTTCTGTTCGAGCTCGAAGTTCGAGAGCCCCAGTGCTACAAAGACGGCGGCTTCCTTCGAGCGCCGTCAGCAACTTACGCGGAGCGGGTCGGCGCCGTCTCGGCCTACGCGTTCCACCCTTTGTTGTACGGCCGGCCTCGGTTCGTCGATTGGGAAGACGAAGCGGGTCGGGGAAAGAGGGGTTCGGAGGAGCGGCTCACCCAGCACTGCAGCGCCCCGAACCCTCGGTCATCAAAGGGGCGCGCCGGGATGTTCATTGCGTGCTGCCAGGACCAAGCGCCCCTGGGATACCATTGGCTGAAGGGCGGTGAGAGCGTCTCGGACCTGGGGACCGTGCTGCTCACACGGTTCCCTTTTAGGACGTTGCGTGGGCTCACGATCGTGGAGGATGCCGCTTGCAATGCCCAGGAGTGGATGCTGAACCGGGTGCCACAGCTGGCCAAGTTCATGCTATTTCTTGTCGACCGGTTCCACTCGGGCCCCGTGAGCTGCGCGCCGTCTGGCGCAAAGCGTTATGCGACGCACACGTGTGCCCCGACGCTCTTCATCGACTTGTTTCCACAACACAGCCACACGATCACGACGGCCTCGGAGGGCATCAACTCGGGCCTCAAGAGATGCGCGGCCAGCCTCCAGCAGATCACGAGCATCAAGCGGCTCTTGAGCAGGTTCACGACGATCCTCGACACGCTGTTCGAGCGCTCAAAGTACGCATTGTATTGGAGCAAGGCTAGTAATCCTTTGAGAGACTCCATTAAGAGGGGGCGCTGTTGAGGTTCCTCTGTATTACTCTATTACCCATTACCCACCGCCCCAAGTTCCATTTTCGTTTTTACATCTGTCATGTGATGAGAGGAATTCACGAGGTTCCATACTTGCAAAAGCAATGGGTAATTGGGTAATAGGGTAATAGAATGTATGGTATAGGCACCATTCATGGGTACCGTCATGTGTGTGTGTGTGTGTGATTAGGGTAATAGAAGGGTAATGAGCTATTTGGTATCTATCCACTTTGAGAAGAATCATTGTTTGGCCTCTCTCGTGTCGATACTTCTCCGTCTTTACTTCGTCTTACCTCCCACACATGACGGTTCAAGCAGAACGAACAATTTTGATCTGCAACGGATTGTCGCGAACCTTTTGAGGCATTGACTAGCTCTTGAAGAGCTGTTGGCTCTGTCATCCATGGCCCCTCCTTATCTTTGTCGTAGTCAAGCCGTTGCCATGTATCCACCCACTCAACAGTGGAGCTCAGAAGCTTGCCTTTATGCAGAGCCTCGCAAATAGCGCCCTGTGGGGCAAACCACCATCCCTTGTGGGTCCGCACCTTATCAATGGAACGTGCCTGCGGTCGCATCTTAAAAACGGCAACCAGAGAGCGCATCAAGACGTTGATGTCGGTATGGCGGTCTTCTTTGATGTCCATCTGATGCAAAAACACGTCATATGTCCGCTTAATGTCTGCTGATGCTACCCATGTCTCTAAAGAAGGATGGAAGCATCCGTTCTCGAGCAGTGCTTGCATCATGTTGACGTGAGGTGGAATCGAGTGCTCTTTGAGGCCCTCCCCCAAGCTGTGACCGGCATCTTTTGGGGATTCCAGTCGGAGATATCGATGGATGACAGATACCGGATAGAGGTGAATAAGCGGTTTCGGGGCTCTCCAACTCTCCCACGAGGGCATCAAAGTATGGTTTGTTCCCCATCTTGGCATCCGAGACTTGCTGGCAAGAGTATCGGCGATCGTCTGCTTCTCGTTTCACAGGCCAGAAATTATTTGTAGTGAACACGATATTGCTTTTGTCGTCCACGCTGATAGGGTCTTGGCCTTTGCGCTCCATACATGTTGTTTCTTGAGTGATCAGGGACTTTATCCGATCGTTCATTCGATACGCTCCGCCCCAACTGCCACATTCGTCCAACACAACCAACAACCTGTTGGCTGCTAGTGAGTTAAATTTGCCAATGATCTTTTCGATTTCGTTACAATAAAGGTAATACTTGCCGCCAAGGATCATCCGTCCAAAAAAGTCCCACAATACAGACTTTCCGCATCCTTGCCCACTGCGGAACACGAGAGCCACCCCAATCTTCCTCCAAGGCTTCTGAACGGCGTGCGCCATCCAACGGATATTGTAGTCGAACCGCTCCTTGGAGCCATCGCACATGATGTTGCGGAAGTGCCACATGAGCCTTGGCATATGTTCCTCGCACTCCACGAGCTCCAAGTCCGTCAATCTGTGGTCGAGTGGTTTGAAACTAAGCCCACTGAACAGATTGAAATGTCGTGAGGAAACCTTTGATGGGTCCGGCTCGAATATAATCTGATCGTATTCTCGGCGCTTGAAACTGCTCTCCCAAAATTTGGCAACCTCCTTGCTCTTTCCAGACAGGCTTTCAAGCTGAAAATTCTTGCGGACCTCGAGGAAGTCGCGGCCGGACCGATGGATGGTCTCCTCAGGCTCAAGCTTCCCGTTTGCGTCTCTCGAGTAGATTGTCTCCAGGTAAATCGCCTTTGTCGAACGCACGACGGCAAAGTAATGGTTCATGGTACGCAAGACGAGATCGTGCAAGTCCATTTTTGCTCTTCTTGTTTGTTCGTCATCTTCTTTCTTCTTCTTCAAGTTTTTCTCTTCCCCTTCATCTGTTGACGACTTGAAGAGGAGAATGTAGCTTTCGCAGGTCCTGAAAAGTTCCCCGTCCACTCTCAGAGGCAAACACTCAGGCCAAAAGTAGACGCCGAGTAGTTGCTTTGGTCGATCGATGCATCCTGGACTCAGACAGCGGTACACAAGGACGCACCCATTGCTTAGGATGCTGAACTTATTTGAGTCATGTTGGTTGCCGTTTAAGCAAGTTCGCGTGCCGTTGAATTTGTACTTCAGAATCTGCCAGCCACTCGCGGTTCTTCTCCCGACTCCGTTGAAGATACTAGAGTCGTCCGGCGCTTTGGCACGCAACAACTCCTCAATCTTTTCACGCGCTCGTTCCAATCCAGGCACGGCCTCTTGCACGTTTCCAAGAGGTGCTGACGCCATCGATGTTGAGTTCTTAACAACGGATGGGGTAGCATTCGAGTCATTCTCGCATGACTTGTGCTTTTTAGTCTGGTCCAATGCAGTTTGTTGAACGTGATCATTCAAAAACTTTACGAGCCATTGAGGCATGTCTTGACACGCTTCAAAGCTAGCAGGCCCTCCAAGCCATTCGTATGTGGCAAGCTTGCCCTGATCATTGACGTAGCTTGCGGGAAAAGCAAAGACGACCCCTCCACCAGCCCGACCGTCAATACCATAGGTAGTTTCACCCACCTTAATGCTCTCAAAATTACGGCTGCATTTTAGGCCGGGTGTAGCTGCTTTGAAATAGAAATGATACCCACCGGATTCTGATTGTGCCTTTAGTGTTTTAGGCTCACCATGTTCCTTGACGAGTTGGTTCCAGAGCTGAATTCCCGGCTTTTTGTTATCGTTGCTCGAAACGTCAACGTCAACCACAAAGATCCGACTGGGACGTGTGAGGATTGCGACTCCATTGGCGTCCTTCCTTTCCTGCTTTGCTTTATCGATAGAATGTTTCCACAATTCGGGCGTTGTGATGTTTGCGTACTTGTGTGGAAATTTGGCATCTTTCTTACCCTCTGTTTCATTCCAGAACATGCGCACGGGAATTGCATAGAGCCCAACGTTGGAGAGCCGTTGGATCTCGTCTGCAACTGCTCGGGGCCCTACGGGCCTAGGGTCTTGAGCGGTTGGAGGTCCTGAGAAGCTAGCTTGGGCGTCCGCCATTTCTTCGTACATTTTGACAAGATTTAAAACCAGTCTGTTTAAACGCACGTGCGTTTGGTGTCGGGTCAAGCACATTTTCTTACCATAATATCAGTACTGAGCATGGAGTCGCATAACGAAAGCGCTTTGAACGATTGCTGCACTTGCAAAGTGTGCAAAACTATCAAGCAATTCTATGAAAAGCATCCGGATGCTCGAAAGACTTACACGAAAAGGTATTATTACAGACATAGGGATGCAATCCTTTTGGCCCAAGCCTTTGAGCGCTACAAAAATGGGCATGCATGTCAACAGAGGACTCTACAGCGCCTCTTTGATGCAGGCTTTCCAGTAGATAACGGTCCGCATCGTGCATGGCAGCATGCTGATCATCAAATGGCGTCTTCAGACACGTCAGATGAGACCGAAGTGCCCTCGCTCCATTTGGGTGCATTCACAAGCATTCAAGTGTCCTGAAAGAATTTGCCACGTGGCGAGCACATTGTGAATCGTTCAAAACCGGATCCGAGAGCCGTGTTGGTCGAATTTTTTCTCGTAGGTTCGCTGTGCCATAGCGGCCGTATGCAACATGCTCCGCGCAAGGTCGTCACGCTCGGCTATGCTCGGGGCGTCTTTGAAGAGATTGCTCACACAAATCTTGCGAAGAAGACACGAACCCACGCTTGCGTCCTTGAAAAGACCTGTGCTGCAAAATTTTGAGAGATAATTTCGGCTCATTGGCTTGTCGGGCGACCTGATTCGAGATAATAGGTACCTCCTCGGAAAGACTTCCAGCGATTCCGAGATGACGTTGTTGCAGCGGGTCGACATGTCTACGGAAGTCGGTCCATGGTGACGGACGGTCTTGAAATCATTCAATACCAGACGAAATTCGTCTTTTTCGAATTCCAACAGATAATTTCCGGATCCAGACATGATCTCGCGAGTCTCAACTGTTTTAATGTCTTTTAAGCGCACGATGGGGCAATCCCCCCATCCATTGCGAATTGCCGGTTGATAGCTATAAAGGCACAATACGAGGTGGCAAAAAAGCACAATTTTGTCCTCGTCGGACAAATCTTCGGGCTTCTTGTTCAGAATCTTGCGATTGACGTGCCTCTGTAGCTCCACTCTGCGCTCGTTAATTTGATCCAAAGTTTTCCAATTTGCTGCTTCGCGCTCTGTTAGTTGCTGGAGAGGCGGCTTGCTTTGATCCATGAGCTTTCGAACCTCTGTGTACCGCTTATAGTAAGCATCATAGAGCTGTTTGTCATCGGGAAATGCTTTGCGCGCTATCACAAGAAGCGGGTTAATCCCAGTGGCCTGCATCGACAGCTTTGAGGGGTAGGCTTCTTGAAAGTACTTGATGATTCCGTCAGCGTCCTTGAGCCATTTCAAATTGCTAAAATCCCTTTGCCCGTGCAAACCCTGGAACAAGCGCATGACGTGCTTGCAATATTGACCGATCGTGTTCTCATTTCGATCGCCATCCTCAAAGACCTGGCGTAATAGCCTTCCGCCTTCAGAAACCGTGGTTATGTGTCGTGTGCTCTTGGCAGGCCCTTGCATCTTTCAGGTTATCTGGATACTGGCGAGAAAATCTTGACCACGCTGAAGGCCCCCTCCGCAGATAACGTGAATATCGAGGTTCAAAATCGATTTCACCAAATCGAGACCGTTAGCAGCTTTTCACGGTGAAAACGGTTATCGCTGCTTGTAGAAGCCGAATAAAAAGCAAGATGGGTACTTTGAGTTTCGTATATTTTCGGCCGAAAATATACTAGCTCTAGATAATGTGACCAGCGGTGTACAGAAATAGACAAGTGGGCTTTTTTGTATATTCCGTTATCCAGACCGGGCGGATTTAGGAGACTCGAGAGCGCCTCGAACCTTTTCTGGGTTCACCAGTTGCTCTAAGCCTAGCACAGGCACGTTAAAATCCGTCCAGATGACACTCGGAGGACGAGATGAGAAGGAAGGGGATATTGCTCTTGGCTGCATGTGGTCTACGGGAGAAACCACTCGAGCATCGTGCACAATCTCCCTAGACGTCACGACCCGCAGCTTGCGGGCTCGGCGCCGTGCTTGAGTCGCATTTCTTAGAGCAGCTCTCCAGCTAACCTTCACAGCGTACGGGCAATTATCGTTGCTTTTATCCCAAAAGGCATGAAAACCCTCCGCAATCAACGAGCGCACGAGGGCTCTGCAGATATGGGACACATTGAACGGTTCTGCTAAAGATCGGATGCCGCCCAGGGCAATGGCATCCAACGTCGTCTCAAGGGATCCAAAGTCTTGATATGCCCTCACAATTGCAGACCGAGCACTTTCAAGAATCTGTTTATCCATGTCCAGGATGGCAACGCGGGCATGAGGACGGTAGCCAAGGATGGCATCCATACAAACCGTTCAGATTTTGTCTCTAGGCAAAATTTACGAGGTACCATTCAAACACGATCGATTGTTGTTGCCTCTAATAAATGTCTCGAGCTACAGGTAGACGGTATCAGCCGTTGAGGGTAGAGCTATGGAAAGTCTAACGCCGAACGGCCTTCAAACTATGATCAATCTCTTATTACAATCTCGCAGAGCGTGTCGTCCAAAGCGGGATCGTAGCATATACTGGAGCCCGGATTGTCCACAATCTCCACTTGAAACCCCCACGGTCCGTAGCGGCCCCGGCTTCCCCGATTGACGCGGTGCAATCGTGCTTGCACCTCGGACCCTCTGCGAATCGGGTCGAACACTCTATGGTACTTGATTTCGCGCGCTATGAAGCCTAAAGGCGAGGAGTCACGATCCGTAGGGTCAAAGATGCCGATGCCAAACGCGCTATATCCGTCCATTAGTTGCTTGCGAAGCACGAGCTCTTGGCCAGGACGAAGCATGCGTATGCGATTCTGGCGACCTTCAAAGGTGACCCCACTGGCTCGGCATAGTATGCGTCCATCTGCGAGGTGCTCCATGGCAGGGCTGTTCAGTTGATATCTTTGAGCCGAGCCATCTCTCTAAGTATGTATGCGGCTTGCGACTTAGCGAGCGTGCAATAATGCAGCAACACCGAGGTTGCGCATTTGGACGCCTCTTGCACGCTGGATGCAATGATATACACATTGACCATGCCACTCAACGTCTCTATAATTCATTGCGCGTGTACCCACTCTTGAAGGCAATTAGGGTCTATAAAAGATTTGGCTTGCGGCGTTCCTGAAAACGGGTTGGCACGCAGATTGGCAAAACCTAAAAAGCATACATATTGGTTCGCATATTTCAAATTGCTAGATTAAATAAGACTGCAGCCTGACGGCCATCTGTAAGACGCGGACCACACTCTAGCCTGACCAAATTGCTCCAGACTTCCAGTCCACAGTACGGCTCGCATTCATTGCTACCTCTATTCCACCTCTCTTGGTCCTACTTCGATCTCGCACCTCCTGTCCTGGACGAGTTCCGGCCATGCTAAGCGAAGTCCGTCCACGTAATCCCTCAAAGTTGCCGGAATCCTCGCCTTCAACGCATCCGAATGCTCCAGACGAAGCTTCAACAACTGAGCCATCACGTCTACCCCGGGAGGACCACATACAGGACGGGTCGTGCTCCGAGGGTTTCGCGATAAATACCAGCCTCCGTATCGAATCTTCCGTCTTCGCTGCTTGCCTGTTGAGCTCTTCCCATCGTTCACCTCCAGCTTGCCCAGGTTCCTTGCCTTCAAGCGCAGTCCCAACGCCGAGAAGACGTGGTTAAGACCGATCGTGGCCGACTTCTGGTAGGCCAATGCGTCAGCTGCGCCTGTTGCCCGAGTATGGAATAACCTGGCGTTCTCCGAGTAATTCTGGAAGAAGGCAGTTCCAGCAAGTTGCGGCCTCAGCGCCTCAAGAGGGGCCGTTTTGTGAGCCAAGTCGAGCGGGTGCCCGAATCCCAATACCCTTAAGAGCTCCCTGGCCATATCTGCCATCAGAGGGGGGTACCTGTGCCGTCCAATCTCCGCTTCCTCATGTTTGTACCCTTCGTCAACCACCTGCTCGAGAAAATCAACCGCGTGGATTGGGTACGGACCGACCGTTCGCAGGAAGTCCTCGTTCAGGTGTGGCACGTCGTAAAACCGCGCCAGCTGGTACTTCTCCATCGAAATTATCTCCCCCTCATGGTCTTGGTTCTTGCGGACCCGTGCTTCGATGTCGGCAAACTGGGCTTGCGAGATATTAGGGGCGCGGATCATCGCCTCAAGAAGATACTTGCCCCTGCGCCCTCCTTCTTCCGAGCCGCCTGGATTCACTTCGACCGCCTCACCGTCATCCGACTCCTCGACAGGCACGCCCAAGACAATGTGGCCGTCGCTCCGCAACAGGTCTGTAAACTCTTCGTAGAAATGCGTCTGTCCGTTAGAGAGCTCTTTCTCATTGTGAGCGAGAAGGCGGGTTATCGGACCCGCACAGTTCACCCCTAGCCCGCCCCTCTGATCCTGGTTCAAAAACCACTGATAGGTCTCTTCGAGCCCCAGCCTCGCAATGCTGCCCGAATCGGTCTTCATCTTCGTCAAGAAGCTGTCCCCCAGCGACCCTTCAGCGGGCAGCCTGATGCCCTCTTGGACGTAACACAGGACCCGTTGGTCTTCCAGCTTCCGCACACGCCCCTTCATCTGATCCAAGCCCCTCGGGTGCGTGCTTTTCGGGCAGATGTACAGGAACATCTGATGAAACCAACGCTGATTGAAGTCCACGCCTGCTTCAACCGTGGGGCTAATGATTACGAGCCGCTTTCGCCACTGCACGTTCACGTCTTGCAGCCCCCGCTTGACCGCACCGTCTGAGTGTCGGGTGATGATCAAGATCTGGTCGTTCTCTACGACGGCCCGATCCGCGACCATCGCCCCCAACTCTCGTGCTTTGTCGGAGGACATGCTCACCACAAAGACGTTGCGGCCGGCCTCCAGCGCCTCAAAGATCGCCCCCTCCCACTTTGGGAGCCCTTTGTTCTTGCCGTGAACGAACTCAACCTGGAGGGGCCGCTCCGGGGGATGGGTGTTGACCACCACGGGGGAGCACGAAATCCCGTGCATGGTGAGGAACTCGAACGTCCGCTGCCCCAAGTGCCCGTCCATGCAGATGATCCGCTGCGCTCTGCTCATCATTCTCACCAGGAGCCGAATGACGGTGTGCCTCTCGCGAAGCGTGTTGGCAGACAGATGTGCCAAGATTGACTCGCTCTCGTCCAGGACGAGCAGGTCGAACGCGGGGGCGTCCTCGTCATCCTCAGCCAGCAGGCCGGGCAGGCTGTCGACCTGGCAAATGACGCGGGGGTGGAGCTCCCTGTGGGCGAGAGGCCTGATGAAGCGCCCGCCGACCTCGCGCCCATCTGCCTGCTTGAGGACTTCGTAGTGAGAAAAGTCCTTGTGCTTGCCCTGAGCGTCCAGAGCTTGCGTGCGACGGTAAGAGGCCATGTTGACCGTCTCGGGCTCAGGTTCTTCAGCCAAGAGGGCTTGAAGAAGCGTGCTCTTTCCGCTCCCCATGGGACTCCTCAGCATCACGGCTTTGTACTGACCCTCCTGCCACCTGCACGAAAAGGTTGTAAGAACGTTCAGAATTTCAAAGGAACCTTATGAAGACCCTTTCGCTAAACAGCGCTGGCTTTCCGAAAACTAAAGACGGCTGCAAGACTGAAGCACCAACACCTCAGTATGCACTACAGTCGAGCTGCCTATCCTCCCTGTCTGTCTGACCACCACAGCCACAAACGCGCGCTCTTGATGCAATTTGAGATGCGCCTCAAGTCTCGACACCTGACGGCTGTCTGCAAGCTGCTTCACAATCCCAAATCGCTCCGAATCTGACGCCGGGGTGTCCTCAAATCAGGTGTCAGCTGATCTGATCTGAAGCGCTATCTAGGCTGCCAAAATGTGAGCGACACGCATGCGCCACGGGGCGCGACAGCAGTCTGGTTCTTGCTGCAAAACCCTTGCTCAAACGCTAACAAGCACCCTTTGAACGGACGCAAAACAGCACACAACTACAAGCAGACTTACAGCGCTGATCACAACCAGGTTTGCAGCGTTGTACGCTGCCAAAACCCTCTGAAAAAGGCATGTATTCGGCCTCCCAACTCAGATCTGGTCCCGATTCCTTGACAGCGATCAAAATCCTGGGGTCAACCAGACCTAAAAGCGTCTAAACACCTTCCAACAGCAGGGCTGATCAGCCTGCTGTTTGCCTCAAGTTCTCTGCACGATCCTCTATTCCCCAACGCACAACATCTGCCCAAGACCAGCGCTAACCGGCTGCCAATAGTACCAAGCAGAATCCCAGACAAACTGAGCCTAAGAGTCCAGCGACCAGCGACGCAGCACTTACCAAGCAACAGCGACCAGACTCACACGTTTACGCCTGAAGCGCGCGCGCACCAAGGTCCCTTGCGCAGTGAACGATCTTACTTGTTCATGATGTCGTTAAAACGACCCCGTTGGTCAGGGGGCGGAAGCCGCCACGGATCTGCTCCAGGTCCATGGGCGCGGCAGCCAGCGGGTTCCGCTGCAGGTACTTCATGTCGATCTCCACAGCACCGTCCTTCCACGTATCGCAATCCACCCAGTACGGCCCGAGGTACTTGGACGGCAGGTCCTTGCAGCACACGCCCGTCGTTGGATCGATTCGCTCGCTGCAGCACTTGGCAAAGACTGCGTTCTTCTCCGGGGCCGCGATGCAGAGGATGTCCCTCCCCCCAGCATGCACGTGCCCCGAGTAGCACGGCTCGCTCCGATCGTGCCAGCTGAAGTTCAGCGAGTTTGCCGACCCCCTGCGGTAAGCCGTCGGGTGCAGCGTCTGGATGAGCTCGGTGCACCTCTGGATCTCATACATGCTTGCGACCTTGGGGCTTTGGTACCGGAAATGCTCGGGCCTGCTGCGGGGACGCCCCGCTCGCACGACGTCGGGGATCTCGCTGCTGGGGACCTTGATCGTCTGGACGTGGTCATCGAACCAGGTGATGCAGGCGTCCGCGTACGGCTTGCTCTCGTCCAGGGGGATGAGGCGGCTTTGAGGAGTGGAGGGTTTGGAGCAGTAGGGGAGTCTGATTCCCCGGTTCCTCGTGTACACCGACTGGTCGATGAGCTCGGCATAGCGGTCGGGCAAGCGCTGGCCGAGCTTTCTCGCGAGATGGCCCGCTCCCTGAGGGTCCGCCGGGGCTGCCAGGTTGGACCGGAAGACAAACTGGGGGGAATGGGAGGAGACGACCAGGTGCAGGCTAAACTTGCCGCCCGGCCCGTAGTCGCAGGGGATCCAGTTGAAGGCTTCCGCTGGGAGCTTGAGGCCGTAGTCCAAGTTGAAGACGATCGTGATTGCCTCCTCAAAGGCCGCAATGACCGTCTCGAGGGTCTCCCCGTCCGGCAGCCCCCCGTCTCTCTCCAGATCCAGGTACGGCTTGCAGGGACACCCCGCTTTGATGGCCTCCTCCAAGTGAGGCTCGCTGCGCAGTTTGGGGAACGCCGAGGGCCAGTCTGGGTAGGACCCAAACTCCCGAGAGGGGCGCAGGCGACGGATTTCGACCTGATGGCGGAGCACTTCTCCATAACGTCGGCAGAAACCCTGCGGCCCGTTCTTCGCATCCCGGTAGTCAACCTTATCGTCGAACTTGCGCTTGGCGAAGAAAAAGGTGCCCAGCGCCGCCTTCTTGACGGTCAACAGTTTTCCGTCGTGCTCGCTGTGGACCAGAGTCTCGCCAGGGCGCACTCGAGAGGCGGGCGCCACCACAGGGACATCCTGCACAAAAGAAGGACCAGGTCAATGATGGGGTCCGAACAAGGGGGCGCGGCCACAGACGACTTGTGATGAAGATTTTTACTTAGGGAAGCGTTGTGCTGCAGAAAGGCAAAATCTCATGTCTTTCGCCGCCGGAAAAGGAGCACCAATCTCGAACGAGCAACTACAGGATCTCTTTGAGCTCGATCGCAATGACAAGGAGGCTTGCGACAGGGCAAGGCTGTTCCTAGAAGCTGCCTTGGAGGCAATCGACGACCTTCGTCGAATGGGCAAGTGCGGCAACACAAGTAAATTGCAACGGCCGGACCTGCTGAAGGAGTTCACAGAGGATGGCGGCTTTAAGGACTGGGACAGGAGCTCGGTGGCTCCCTACATCAGATATCAGTTGGATACAGACCCTGAAGGCCTCAATGTTTGTTACTTCAGCGAAGAAGAGGATCAACAACCGCTCAGCTTTGACGATTACTACGGACCAAGCATACACGACGTGATTTGATCAGTTATCATTGAGCGTTTCTCTGGAGCAATTGAGACTTACATCTTCCGTCGAAACCCAATTCCCAGATTGGGCAGGCTCGTCGAGGTCGGGGGCTGTGCTGGGCTGACAGAGTTCTGCACTGGCGGGCGAGCTTGTCGCGTTGCCGACATCCTCGGCAGGAACCCCCCAGATCTGCTGGGGCGCCTCGGGCTCCTGCAGAAAACACAGGAGCATGCAATTCAGCGAAAAATCTCACACTCGAGCCTACAAACTGCTTGCCTCGACATGGTCCACACCTTGCAAATGGCTGAAGCCTCGTTCCCTTATAACCAAGTACAAGGTGTGGACCCATTAAGTGGGGGCGCATGCCCACCGTTTGTCTTGCCAACCCGGTATGGCCGGGCCGGCTTACGGTCCACACCTTGCAATTGGCTGAAGACAGCATTCCTTAGTACCAACGACAACGTGTGGACCAGTTGAAAGAACACAAAGGAGAGGGGGGAGGTTCGTGCCCGCCGTCAGCAAATGTTGACGTCAGGCTCACCTCAGCGTCTCCGAGCGTCTCTTGCTCCTGTGGGCTTTGCAGAACGTGCTGCTGCATCGCCATCTCGGAGTGCCTGCAAAAACCAGGCATTCTCAGTGCTTCGAATGCGCTCCATTCCCAACGCTCGTTCCGTTTCTCCTATCGTATTCAATCCCACTTCTCCTCTCAAACATTTCCAGAAAGCCCTTGGGAACGGTCCACCGCGCATGCCTCCATCAAAACGGCCAGAGAATCGCATCCCAATACAACCTGGCCAAGACGAAGTTTGAGAATCATTCGTGCAGGCAGCTGGTCGACACACACAGACGCAAAGCAACACAAAGCAGCAGTGGCTCACTCGCGCTCCTGCTGGCCCTCTATGTCGTTCTGGGCCGCGTCCACATGGGCCTCGACTGCAGCTGCCTCTTGGGCGATCTGCTCCTCCGCCCCCAGCGCCTCCAGCATCGGTCGCGCTGCTGCCTGCAAAGAGAGGTCAAAATGCTTGTGAGCGAAATTGGACGGATCATGGGCTTTCTGGTGTCTGAAGTGGTACACAGGTGGCGAATCGAACTCCTCAAGACCCTGCACTGTTGGCTGTTCACAAAGGAAGTTGGCCTATTCCTTACTTGCTTTCATGATGGTACGCCAACCTCAGGATTGAGAGCAAATGACAACCGCAGAGTTCGAAATCAAACCCAGCAAGTCTTGACTTGAGCAGTCTGCACGGTGTCTTGCGTGACTTGAGGTGCAGACATGATGGCCCACGGCGCCCAGCAGTGACATAGGCGCCCGCAAGAGGTGCAAAGGGTACTAGGGCTGCAGGTCACTTACCACGGCATGGTGCGGCCCTCCCAGATCGGACGACTCCGCTCGATGTACAGCTTGCCCCTCGTGCCGGATTCGATGGGGCCTCGATCTCTCCAGTGCCCCAAAATGAGCTTCAACCGCCACTCGATTAGCCGCCCGAGCCGCCTCGTCCAATGGGGCAGGACTTGGCTTTGCCCGTTTGCTGTGGGATAAAGGAAGTTGAGTTGATGACAGAATTACAAGTCGGACGCTCTTTCGGCACTGGCAAAAAGAACCTGCGATAAACAAAGGAGTACATCTTTCTTTTGCCCTTCCTTTACTGCTTGCACCGCTTTCGGTTGCATGATGCACCAGGTGAGCCAAGAATGACGCACCAAGTCGGCCACAGAACTCACCTTCGCTTCTTTTGAGCTGGTCGACCAGTCCTTGGCGCCAGTGATGTCGATGGTCTCGCTTCCTCATCAAGGACCTGAGGGCAAAAATATAGCAGACGGGTGAGTTTTGAAGCGAGCACTAATAAACGGGACTGAAACGCTGGTTGGAGTGGGGGCAGGCCTGCATAAGATTGGAGGAGGCAGTGCCAGCAGAGGCTACAGATCATGTACAGTAACCATTCCGACAAAAACGTGCTTTACAAAGTCTCAATCTCAAATTCGGGGCACTGCACCCTGCTTGTCAAGAGTCTTGCAAGGCTGTGCGCACAAGCCAATTATGATTGCCAGCGGTTTGCGCGGTCTAGCTGGCTCCAAAGGCCACAGATTTGCGGACGACTTACGGCGTCGGGAGCATGAAGCGAGTCTCCAGGATCACCCGGATCAGTTAGCTGTACAACTTGCCCCTCCTGCCAGGTTCCATGGAGCCTCGATTCCCTGAGGTTGCGGAAATGAGCTTGAAGAGCCGCTTGTCCAGCGGTTCGGGTCGCCTCGTCCATTGGGGCAGGACTCGGCTTGGTGCGTTTCCTGTGCATGAAGGGAATGTCGAGTTAGTAGAAAGAAGCTGCGGTGTTCCGGGTCTGGTTAGGAGCTGCTAATCAGACTTGCATGCTATGGTTAGTGCTTGGTTAGCGAGTCTGGTTAGTGGCAAAAACCCCCTTCAGACACGAGCCTGCTACTTTGAGCAGGGCTGACAGCACGGCCTACACCACCTGAAGAGGCACCTCTCCAGGCTGCTCACTCGATGCACGGCTTTTCCAACGACAGAATCAACAGTTGAGCCCAGGACGATCAAATCAAGTGCGCAACGGGCTTACCGTGGCTTCTTCTTAACTGGTCGGCGCGCCACCGATGGGGACCCCCCTGCCCCCTCTTCCCGAGATCGAACCTGGGGGCGAAAGATTTGGAAAGCGGCTCAGCACGCGCTTTTGCCATACTTAGGGGAAACGCTTTTGCACTCAAAGGGCATTGCAATCATGGGCTACGACACGCATTTCACCGGTCACTTCGCCCTTTCTCGACCCTTGACTGCTGAGGAGACCGCTATTCTGGAAGCCGTGTACGACCACCGCCACGAGGAGGACCTGGAGCTCCCTTACGCAATTGTCGAGAAGCGCCCGGTAAAGATCGACAGACATGTGCGCAAGCGCATCTATTCCGGGGAGGGATACGACATCGCAAAGAAGTTCCCCTCCTTCTACTGCCAGTGGACGCTTTCACCCGACAAGCAAGCTCTTGTTTGGGACGAGGGAGAGAAGTTTTATAACTACGTGAGCTGGTTGGAGTACCTCATCTCGCACTTCTTCGCCGTGTGGGGCGTGGAACTGAGCGGGACTGTCGAGTGGAAGGGGCTCGGCGGTCGGAGCGACAAAGGTTCGATCCGGGTCAACAGCGACCAGATTACTGTCAAGATGCCCATTCCCCGTACACGAAGGCGAGTGGACTCACCAAAGGTGCCAGCTCCGCAGCAGCAGAATGCGGCTCCCTAGCCGGATGCACACGGTCGGAGGAAGGGCCATCGTCCTGCAAAAGACAAGGGGATTAGAGACGGGATGAAGCAACTCTGGACGATGGTGCGCGCGAGCGACTCAAACTTGGTCTCTTTCAGCTCGACGCCCTTGATCAAGACACAGTGGCCTTCCAGGCTGTTTCAAAGAGCAGGTCGGAGGATCCGAGACTTTGCAAAGCAACAACGTTGCCCCTTTCTTCAAAGACTTTACACTGGTTGACTGTCATGAGGGGCTGGAAAGAGCAGTCATTGGAGCGCACATTGTTCGACTTACGTGTAGATCCGCAGCAGACATCCATCGGGGCTGCTGGCGCACATCTTCACCATCGCCTTCTGTCCCCTCAGATTCCTGCACACATGGACACGCACATCATGAGCTGACGTGAAAGTGGAGTCTATGATTGCATTTCGCGATGGAGAGATACTTGGCTTTGGTCCACACCTTGCAGATGGCCAGAGACATGATTCCTTAATTCCAAAGACAACGTGTGGACCGGGCCGTGCCCGCCTTTGGCTTCGAAATCGGTGGCGTGGCCGGGCCGGCTTACGGTCCACACCTTGCAGATGGCCAGAGGCATGATTTCTTAATTCCAAAGACAACGTGTGGACCCGAGGAAGGTGGGAGCCTGTGCTTACCTTCGGCTCCAAATCTGTGGTATGGCTGGGCCGGCTTACGGTCCACACCTTGCAGTTGGCTGAAGACAGGATTCTTTAAAACCAAAGACAACGTATGGACCAGTATGAGAAAGCGGAGGGGGCCCCGTGCTTACCGTCCGCCCTAAAATCCGCGACATGGCCCGGCCGGCTTACGGTCCACACCTTGCAGCTGGCCTGACATACAATTCCTTCAAACCAAAGACAACGTGTGGACCCGTGGCCTGTGCTTGCCTTCGGCTTCATAATCTGTGGTATGGCCGGGCCGGCTTACGGTCCACACTTTGCAGTTGGCCTGGCATACAATTCCTTAAAACCAAAGACAGCGTGTGGACCCGTGGCCTGTGCTTGCCTTCGGCTTCGTAATCTGTGGTACGGCCGGGCCGGCTTACGGTCCACACTTTGCAGTTGACCTGGCATACAATTCCTTAAAACCAAAGGCAACGTGTTGACCAGTAATGAGAAGGAAGAGGGGCCCTGTGCTTACCGTCCGCCCTAAAATGTGCGCTATGGCCGGACCGGCTTACGGTCCACACCTTGTAGGTGGCTGGAGGCCTTCAGCAACTCCAATCAGACTCAAAAGTGGACACCAACAGGGGAAACCACCATAAGAAGGCAAAGCGGACTGCCAACCTTACCTTACAACAATAGCACGTTCATCAGATCCAACAGTGGATGCCAACGACCCGATAAAGTGAAACCGTCACCAGAAAACGCCTTGAAAAAGGCCAGATTTTGCGCGCATCTCCGGCTGAATATTGCTCTTTTTAAGTTCACAACGGAAGAGGCTTTCAGCTCTTGCAAGAACGTACCTGATTTCCTTGTGCGGGCGCAGTAGACGCCGGCTCTGCAAGGAGGTCTTCGGCGGAAGGGGATCGCGAAAGGACGACCTTGCGTCCCTGCCTGGGAATAGGACGCTCCTCTTCCGATTCGTCGCTGACAACTCGCAGCCTCCGCAGCCGGCCTGACTCCACCGCTTCCTCCTCACCCGACCCGCAGGAATCGTCACCAGGATGTGTCCAAGCCACCTGAGTGTCGAGAATGACAGAGACAAAATCGCCACGCATTTATCAGCGGGTGTTCATATGTACAGGCAAAATCCGTAAATTCCTCTCTGACTCGGTTGATCAACCCCTCGCGATAAAGAAAACCCACTTCCTCGGAAAACCGGGGCCTAACTTCCAGCAACGTGCACAGAGCTTCCGACTTCAAAAGGTTCGTCCCGGAAGCAGACGCCTGCCCGGACCCGACAAATTTCGTGCACCTTCAGACGAAAGGCCTCAAACCCCCTCACTTCCAGCAACGTGAACACAGGTTGCGAACCCCTGAAGCAATATCTAAAAGGCTTCCTCATCATTCGAATCATATTCATGCAAAAAGCAGGCGGCCTGACCGAAGGCAACGAGATATGTTCATCTGTCAGCCGAAATAGGAGCCTTTTGTCAGCCGACCACCAGGCTCACGTCGAAATCGTCCTTCTCGAGCTCCTCCGACTGCAAGCTCCCGGAGCGCAGCGGCAAGAGCCCAGCACTTGCGGCGGCCGGCGGCTGTTGATCAACCTGGGCACCCACCCACCGCCCGTCGCTCGCGGTAGAGCAAGAGCTCCGCGAAGGGCTGCCCCCGTCGGCTGCGGACTTGGACCGTGAAGGCAGGAGACGGTCTTGGCGTCCGGTTTGGAGCGCCTTGGTCGCCTGTCGAGGCGCTTGCGGCTTGAAGCGCCCAGCCAGAAGCTGGGCGATGTCCGGCTCATGATCGAAGTTCCCGGCGGCGCGCATTTTGCCTTGCGCGATCACCGGATTCTCCTCGTCTTGGCTTCCGTCGTCGATCATACGGCGGTCCTGAGATGTCTCCCCGTCTGAAGACTCGTCCACACTCTCAAATTCGGCCCCCTCAATGTCCTCGCCTTCTTCAGATCCTGATTGCTCAGAATCGGACTCACTGGCCGCAATCGCCGCCGACCGCTTGTTGCCACGGCTTATCTGGACAAAGAATAGAACGGCTCTGATCAGAAGGACGACCTAATGCAACAGCGACGACTAGCGGCGATCACTTCGTGCACCGCAGCCAGCTAGTCCGTCAAATGTTACGAATTGCCGACACCTGATGGTCCGCAGGTTGCAATCAGTTTGAAAGAGAGAGAGCCACAACAGGATACTAATCTGGCCCAAAAACAGTGCTCATACTCAACACTTCGAAGAAAGAAGCTAGCATCGAGCTTCTGTGGCCTTTCCAGAAGCAAAGGTGAGCAGCACAGATTGACCAGAGCTCGATTGAAGTCCGCACCTCAGGATTGGATCCTCACCTTTGCTGCGGCGCCGCATCCCTTGTTCTCGTTTACAGCGCCAGATACTTCTCTCAGCGAAGTGGACAGCTGGCTCCTTTCGTCCCCCCCGTTGTTTTCCACCTTGAAAGAGAACAAGCGACCTGAGTAAGATTACAAACCATGCATGTCCAAGGTGAAAACAGTTCGGAATGCTTTGAATGATCTCCAACAACTTGCCTGCAAAAGGAGGACAGAAAGCATCCGTAACAGCTCCCAACTCAGGTGCTCCCAACTAGAGCGAAGAGATTACAACTCAGGTCTTACCAGGGCAGTCAGAAGACCCTCTTCAATCCTGTCCAGATGACTGAGTTCTTCGTCGACCAATTCTCTGTCCAGACTTGGCATCTCTTCCGCAGACTCGGGCCTTCCCGTGCGGTCGTATTCTCCTGAAGCAACGCCTCCCTCCAAGGCTGCACAGCTGATTCCCACCTGGAAAGAGGAAAATGAACAAGTCAATTGCATGTGCAGAAAGATCCGCTCTGGGAGAATCACTGCGCAGCTTCTTCCCACAGGATTGACAAACCCGTTGTTCTGGTCAATCTAATTCCGATATCACTACAAAGCAGTATCCATGCAACAAGCAAAAAGGCATATTTTTGCCACGTGCTTCGACTAAATTTGCATCGTTCGACTTTCCATACAAGATTCGACGCTGCAGAAAGTCACGAACACAGTGCATGTGCCCACTTTCACGAATCAAATACCGCTTGGTTCTGCTTGGTCACTAAACTCACTTGCTTGCTCAAACGTGCTCGCTTCCTCCAATCTTCGAAAAGTGGGTACGTGCTCTCGGACAACAGCGGTTTGCCGTAGACCTCCTGCATATCACATAAGAGGACCAATTAAGAAAGCTCAGGCTCATTCCTTTGTGCAACAACCGTATGTCAGCACAAGTGCAGAGCCTGCTCGCCTACACTGATAGCTATGGCCACAGAAGACGCCCTGCTACTCAACTTGGTTAAGGGTTCAGTCATCAACAGAGGATGCTCCTGAAACAACGAACTGCAAGAGGGTCAGACGTACGCTCACCTCAAGCGACGGCAGTGGAATGAGTGGCCGACTTGTGCCGATGTCGTGACCTGGCGCTGACTTGCCTTGAGCGCTCACCTCGTCGGGCCCCCAGCCGGGATTGGGCTCAATTCCCCCGATGATCAGGAGCGTCGCTGTTCATTGAAACCACATCGGATGTGAGCAATGGATGCAGGATGCAGGACGTAGCTTCCAGTAGAAGGATGTCAAGATCAAAGGGCGAAGAAGGCAACAGATTCTGGAGCAGCACAAGGGGGTCGCAAAAGCTTGAGCTAGGGGGCCCTTTCGATCAGTGTCTCACCTGTGAGGCGTCTGCTTTTGGGCGCTGCATCGTAGTACAACCCACTTCGCTGGAAGGTATTGTTGCACGCTGCAATTCACGAGCAATACATCAACAACCTCTGCATCCTAGTATCCGGATCAACTTTGAATATGCCTGCAATGAAAGAAAAGTATGGCAAGCACTCAATGGGACACTTGCTTCAGATTGGTCGATAACGCATATCCTGTCAGCTTCGTTTGCGGTTAAGTGCTCACCTGACTGACTGCGAGTCTGGTCTCCGGCCGGCGATGCCACATCCTTTTTTCCCACGACCTTTGCCTTTGCGCGTCCCAACGCTGCAAGGAACAGATTATAGTGGATTTAGGCTCTAGATCGGCTCCATGGCAGGACCCTGCTATGGTGCTGCCCAAAAAGTGCAAGTGTGCGCTTGAATACTTGTTTGCCGACCAACTCATCGAACAAGCAGATCCATGCAGCGCTCACCTGCACGGTCCTTGTCGATGCTGAAGTAGCGGTACGAGTCAGCGTGCTCATTGCAAACGTACTTCACTTCCCCCCCTTCCTTGCTTCCACGCAACCCACAGTCTGCACCGGCGCCGCACTCGTGGCAGTATAGTGCGTACGGAACTGGAAAAGAGGCAACCAGTGAAGGTGATGCTTAGTGTGCTTGCAGAGTGCTGTGATGTTTGATTGAAAGGCGCTTCAATTCCCAAAAAGTAGTTGAGGGACTCGAAACTCATCTCCTAAGTAACATTTCCAAAGGAGCTGTGAGCGCAGCCAGGGCAAACGGAAATACTTTCCGTACACTTGACAGCCCCGCCCATAAAAAGAACAGCGCACCATTTCTGGCACCCAAAGATGCTACTCGAGTCTCCCAGCAAAGACCCCAATAGTCAACACACCCCATTTTCAGAAGATTCCAAGTCTCTCTGCAACTGCTTTGTTTCGCATCACGTTTTGCTTCAGACCTGAGCTTCGGGCGCTGAGATGCATCACCAAGAACGGGAACGAGCTATCCTACCTGTGTCCTCTGGTTCGCAGAGCGAGCGCGCAAGGCGCTGAGCTGCTTTCCTTTCTGCACTGCGAGCTGCAGGGCGGGGGCAACTGGAGGTTTGCCGTCCTGCTTTGCGGAATCTGCGGGACACACCCGCTGGCTGCTTGAGCCCCTCCAGGTGAGACCTCTTGACTGAGGCAAGAACCTCTTCGAACCCACTCAGCAGATCGACATCTGGCAGATTTGCTAGCCCTTTGAGGCCACCCATTGCAGCACGCAAGCTGCCAACCCAGGCAGCCTCCGACCAGAGAAGACCTGCAGGCCCCAACTCCCCTTGAGCGCGCCGGCACACGATCCCTGCGCGCTTGCGGAGCACACGCAAGCCCCTCACTGAAATGCCGGCGGACGGTCCTGCCACAGCCATTGGGGCGAGCTGGCGGATGGCACAGAGGGAAAGAGCCTTTGCCTGACAGTCATGGGTGCCCGCGTCGATCGTCGGGGGCGTCGGAGAAAGGCAAATTCCCTGAGCAGTGCTCGCACCCGGCGACGGCTTCTGCAACGAAGCAAGAGTACCGCGTGTTAGTCACAACCCACAGCACCCGCTGTTCTTGCTCGCTACCTTCTAAAGGCCTGGAAGTTGAACGGCACATGCCTGCCGATTGGATGCGGCCTTTCTCCCATGAACCCTGTTAAGACGTGCGGCGGGCTCGCGTGTGGTCCATACCTTGCAGATGGCAGAAGCCTCGATCTCTAAGAACCACTTACAAGGTGTGGACTCGAATCAAAACAGGTGTCAGAAAGCGCCTGTGCCCCCCAATCCCCCCAAGCAACTGAGCTCTGGCCGGGCTTGCTTACGGTCCAGACCTTGCAGATGGCTAAAGGCTAGATCCCTAATTACCATATACAACGTGTGACCCATTCAAAAGAGCGATCAAAAACTGCATGCCCCGCAAATCGCTCCATTTAAGGTGGCGCAAGACTGGACTTCCAATGATAATGACAAGGTGTGGCCCCAATTCAAAGCAAGTACCAAAGATCGGCGTGCCTGCCATCTCCTCCAGATTCCAAGTTGTGGCCTGGCTTGCATGTGACCCACAGGAGCTGAAGACTTGATTTTTCTAGGAACCAGTAGCAACATGTGGGTTCAATCCAAATGGGGGCAATCAGAAAGTGCGCGCCTGCGGAAGCTCTTTTGCGGCTGGGTATGCTGATGGTCCACACGTCGTAGTTGGAACAAGACTGAAATCCTAGGGTCCAGACGCAAGGTGTGGACTTGTTTGTAAACAATTGAAACAGAGAACGCATGCTTGCAACCACCTGCAAAAGCCACACCTTGGCCTGGCTTGCTGACGGCCCACACCTTGCAGATGGCTCAAGACTCAATTCCTTACTAACCAATATCAACGTGTGGACCCTCCTCAGAAGAGCAACCAGAGAACACATGCCTGCCACTCCACCATTAAGCCACGCTGCAGTTGGGTCTCATTAGGGCCCACACCTTGTACTTGGTGTCAGATTGCATCCGTATGGCCACTTACAACATGTAGACCCAGTCAAAAGCCCAACCGGAGTACCGGGCCGCTAATCTCACAGCCCTGACATATGGACCAGCTCAAATATTGCATAAAATGATCCAGGCCACTTGAAACACCTTTGTGGGAAATACCTGAAGGTAATTATATCTCGTGGGGTGGGGCAGAGAACCAACCTGGTTGTTTTGCTTGCAGCAGCTGCGGTCTTCCCCTTGACGGGCCGCATCAGTGGGCTGCACAGCCATGGGCTCTCCTGATGGCAACGCGTCTCCAGCGGCTGTCGAGCCCAGAACAAGGCAATGAACCCAGGGCAGCTCCTTGAAACCAGCCTGTTGCACCTGAGTGTTTCCTTTGCCAGGTCCGCGATCAATTGACATTCAACCTGTATGAGAGAAAAGGACATGTACACTTTCAGTCCACAGTCCTCATAGACCACAAAAGCAGACATACCTGGCCCTCTGCCATGAGTTTCAATTATGGACAACAGGCCTCAATCATTCCCCACATCCAGGCTATTAAGCCCTGACCAACATCCGTTCGTGACTAGCTGAGCCACATGTTCTGTAGCAGTATAAGAAGCGCCAATTGAGATTCCAAATTACTCTGGTGATTGCTAACGGTCTTTCAGACACTTATCAAGTTGGTTAACATGTCAAATCCCGCTTGACATGCTAATGAGGATGCAGAACAGAGTTGTCATCAGCGCGTGCATGCAAAGCAGAAGATTGCCTCTACTTGAAACAGCACCTCAGAAGAAAGAATTGTCATGCACACACACTCAGAGCTTGCAGGAATAAACAGGTACCAGGCCTGGTTCCCTTGCAAGCATGCTGCAGCTGAAAAAACAATCAGGTAGCATAGTGTCCAGGAACTTACCTTCGCACATGTCGCGCGCCTTTCAGGACTTTGGGAGTTGTCGTTTCTCTGACTGCCACTTCTGGTCCCCTGCCAAGGCTCTACAAAGAGAAGGTTTCTTGGAATGTCCCAAAAACAGCTGTGGGAACCCATCAAAACCAGGCAGGCAGCAAAAAACAGCTGCCACGCCATGCCGCGCCTTGCCATTACTATGCCACCAAAACTGCCACCTGTCCCAAAATATCTAAGTGCTGACTCAGCCCCAGAAGTTTCCAGACTGGAAGGAGAATATCTGGGCGCTGATTCAGCCTGGAACCTTCACGGAACGAAGGCTGGACCTTTCGCAGCCATATTAGCAGCATTCAATGGCTGGCCCGAGCGGCAACAGGGCCTGACTTGGTAGCGATGGCGCCCCCCCTGGACTGGGCCTAAGCTTGTGTTACACAGCACGTGCCAATAGACAAGCTCCAAAGCTCTAATGTTGGCAGGCAGTGATACCCCCACAATATGCTCCGGAGCACATATGTAAGCCTCGTTGCTGTACGTCAGAGGGACCCCCTTGATGCTGAAGGGGGAGTGCTGTGGCAAGGGACAGAAGCTTCTAGCATGATCCCGCTTCTTGCTGCACTTTCAGGCACCATTATCGCGGCCTGAATGGTAATGGTAGGGGCTGAACCCTCATGGCCCGTGCACCTTATACCTTGGGCACCGGACCCCGGGCCGTCGGGCAGATCACCCGGGGGAGTTGGTTTGGAATGCAAGGCAGGTCGCGCCAACTGTGCTGGCATACCGCTCTTGTGGCTTGCTGCCCCTTGTGGCGCATGGCACTTTAACCGTAGGCCGGAAGGGCGAATAGGAAGGGCGGGGCCTGATGTGGCCGGTATGGACTGACCGGGATGAGTTGGACATCGTCACTATGTTCCCAACTCTTGCTGGGCTCCGTATCTGGCAATTAGCTGGGGCTGCTGGGCCCTACTCCGGAATAAAGATAGCAGCAAGCGCACTTGCTGGTTAATTCTAGACACTTCGAATGGATCTTAGTGCATGCTATAGTGGTCAGTATCAATTTTTGGATTTCACATGTGGCTTTGATTGTTCTAGCTCAACTCGGTTCGTACCAAAGGCAATACATTTAGTGTACTAGGTGAAAAAGTTGCAGCATTCGGTAGCTGCGCGTTCCATGATAACACCTCATCAACCGCACCACCATGCGCCTTTCCTCTCAGAAGGCTGCAGAACTGGCGGGTTCATATGGTATGCTATGAGATAGCCAACAAAGCGCTTGGCATGATAGGTTTATGGGCCATTTGGGCCTGTCTCTTTGCACCCCCATGCTATACAATGAAGCCTCAACACCAATGCAGAACAAAAGTTTGTCCGAGCTTGCGCCTAAATTGCCTCCACTCTCACTATAAATCGCAACATTTATGGTGGATGTGCAAAAAAGCACACGAAATTGTTAGCAGACAATGCGAACTAGCTACTCTACATAGGAAAGAGTGGAGGCCATACGGATACTTGTATGCTCTTGAGTACAAAATGCCAAGCAATCTGCACCAACCACGCTAAACAGGAGGGCTTAGAGCTGCGAGGTGCATTTCAGTATCTCAAGTGACCACAATACGCAGCGGGCAGGAGTTCTTTGCATGGTCAACATGGGAGAACCACTTTTTGCCGGCTTGGCCGGATGCCGAAGGTTATGTGCAATAGGACTTTGACTGTTTGGCAAGCTTCAGCGGTGAAATGGCAAAGCCGATGCGTACCCTATCTTGCCGCATTTGGGGCTTCTCGCGGGCGCCATTTGTGTGCCCGGCTGGACCCACCTTAGCAGTGTAACAAGGGAAGCTTGCTCTCAAGCAGTCCTGGGTGATGGGTATTTGCCGCTAGTTAAAACCTTTGCGAACAAGTCGAATCACAAGGCGTCACCTTCGACCCATCAGAAGTACTGCGTGCTCTTTGTTGTTACCATAATCAACAATTGCCCTCTCGTACTTGGAGTCGAAGAGAACATGGCAGACCCCTGGACCCCTCGCCCGTCTTGGCTTCCCGGTCCTGTGGTTGCGCAAGTCCACCACAACCCATGCGTCGATCTGATTGCCCTGGATCATGGGATGATATCGCCCGTTTGGCAGAAATCTGCACAAGGCCAACATCCGAGTTGCTGAGGGAGACAAATGTGTAGCCGCTACAAGTTTCTGTGCTCTTGAAGAAATGAATCTGTTGTAGCTTGTGGTGAGAGCGAGAAGTGGGCACAATGGGCTGATGCGGATGAGCAGGATTGCTCGCCCTGCCAGCCTGAAAGATGAGGGCATAACCCTCTTCATGCTTGCGACGGCTCCGACAGTTGCTTCACTACTTCATGAAGCATCACAAAGACCAACTGAAGATGCTTACAGCCCTGATGTGCGCACCTTTTTAGATGCTCTGTCAGGTCCCTCCCGTCAATCAGCAGCTCGAATGCCCATTTTATCCCCGTCCCGTGCAACACGAAATCCACGTAAGCCTCCAGCCCATAGATCTTGCCGACTGTCGGGGAGAAGTAGACCCCCTCTGGTAACAGACTCGTGACCGCCCTGTTTCAGAGGAAATCTTGTTAGCCCGATTGGTGCGTGGCTATGGTGCATTGGGGCAACGGGGCCGGAATCTGGGGATCATCCCACTCGCATGATATCTAATTCGTTGGTTGAAGGCTGGCAGCGATTTTCAGCTGAGAAAAGTATATCGGGTACCAATTGAGGAACTTGAAGCTAGAACAGAAAGTCGAAGCGGGACGACAATTCAATGCGGAAACGGAAGCGGAAACGGAGGCAAAGGCAACGAAATCGAATTTCGCTACTCTGGGAGCAGAAGCGACTGCAAAAAACGGGTTTGGAAGCAGAGCCGGGTGAGGACCGGAGCCCCAGCTTAAGGGCGATTCCAAAATTAGTGCCCGGTTGGAATTCTGCGGAGGCGGGAATGGGGTTAGAAACGAACCCAGAACCGGACGTCGCCTGATAGTGGTCGGAAACCCGCTCTGTGAGATGACGGTGAAGAAAACAGTTAACGGAGAAATGAAGAGGACCCTTGGGGCGCACAACCGGGGGAGAGCACCGGGGAGTGAGGAGTGTAAGGAAACGGGCAACCAGCCAAGCGGTTTTAAATCAGCGCGCCCAGTGGGAATGCGGACGAATGAGGCTAGCCGTGGTTTCAGACCACACCATACGAAGGAGCATTTCTGCAAGGTTACTACGAGCCACCGACTCGCTACGAGCCACCAAATAGGTTCGATGGGGTTTGCCGTTGGACCGAGTATCGAGGGCAAGTCTCTATCGCAAAGAGATGGAGTAGAATCGACACATAACATCTGAAGCAATACTCGTGGTTTCGAAGTCATTGTTTGAAGCCGCCAATGTCTTTGGAAAAAGTAAGTAACCGGCTATTCTTTCCGCAGGTTAGGGCCACGGACCAGTAATTCTGCGGCTGGAAAAAGTACTTATCTGGAAGCAGTATCGGTGGCATGGGAACACAATCTGCATCATATCCGACTCGTTGGCTGAATGCTGGCAGCAATTCCCAAACAATTTGCGATGCATTCCACAAGTGATCGAAGGAAACTCACGAGTACAGCTCAAATTGGAAATGCGACTCGAGCACACCCCCCACTACACCGCCCCTCGTGCTCAGGTTCAGGCTGTTTTGTAGCGTAGGCGCCTGCATCTTGGACAGGGCCTCCTCCAGAAACGCCTCGAGTGACCGCGGCATGTCCTTGGGGGTGCCCCACACCCTCCTGGCCAGATTGTAGCGGAAGAATTCCAGGTGCAACCCGCTCGTGAAGGACACGCTGTCCTTCTCCAGGAGGAGATACCCCGACTTGCCGAAGTCCTCCGCCTTGTCAGCGAGCGGCGGGTTGCTGCGCCGCAGAGCCTCCAGAGATTCCTGCAGAATTGGAGCGTCACGAGCGACACAATCCAAACGCGACGGAGCAAGCATTGACTCGAGTACTATACCGGCGCGGGAATTCGCACCCGGCAGCTGCGAGGAATCAATATTCGTTTTTAACTTCATTTCATCCTTAACCTGAACCGGCTCGTTCACCTGCCGGTTAACAGTGTTCAGTTCAGCAGAATCCCTCACAATAAATTTTCACACACTTCGCACAAAACCCAAACTACTATTTCTGGTCGGATTCTAGTGCCGGTACTGTAGTCGAGCACTCAAGATGGATGTGAGAGCCACAAGGCTGAACAAACTTAACGCCTGCACCCACCTGGCCACGGGATGCCAACAGGTGGCTGATCAGGTCGAGCGCCTCGCGGTCCCTCACCAACTCGCTCACGCTGAAGAAGGATACACAGAATCAGGCACCACCACCAGCTACATGTGTCGGCTTTGTGGACCTACGAAAACGTTGCCGGATCAACGCAGCGCGATAAGCACATGCACAAGCCCAGAGAGATGCATGCAAGAGGTTTTGCAGATGCTGCTTAATGGTTACTATCGCGGCAGCGATGGGCCTGCAATGCAATTAAATACGGACACAGCAACGATGGCTGGCGTTCTCACGAGGGAAAGGATCGAGTCCCAGAAAGGGAGTCTAACAGCCTTGGGGATGCCACAAAGTCCACCGCCTTTGCGGCCCACTCCGCCGCCCTCCCAGCGTAGTTCGACGGAGAATGCCCCTTCAGCAGGTCTAAAACATGGAGGACGCTACCCGGGTGCCGCTCGGTAGTCGCCTCGATGACATCGCCAAGCGTCCGAAGCTGGCCCTCGTCCCTGGCGAAGCCAATGTTGTGGATGAATGACTTGAGGACCTGCCCGTACTCTTCCATGGTGAACTGGACGGCAGGCTCGGGAGAGTTGCTCCCTGCTGGGGTTGCAAAGCCGGGCCGGGGCCTGGAGCAAGAAAAACGCATGTGA